AGAATAGAAAACAGAAAATAATAGAAAATAGAATAGAATAGAAAATAGGATAGGATTTAGAATAGACTAGAAATAACAGAAGTAGAATAACAGAGTTGGAAGGGACCGTGCAGGTCATCTAGTCCAACCCCTTCTCAAGCAGGAGCCCCCCACCCCATACCATTCGTGACAGGCGGCTGTCCAATCTCTTCAAAGCTTCCAGTGACGAAGCGATGTTAACCCGGGGGGGGGGGGGGCCCGGGAACGTTAACCTAGGATTAACTCAAAACTGAATATTTTCGAGTCAAGAGGACCTAAGAACTCTGTTCAACCCCCCCAATGATGGTCCATCCACAAACTACGATTAATCCGGGCATTGCAACGTCTCCCTTCTTCGTTTAGCCCGGCTTTAAACACCCCCCACGGCCCCCACCCCTCGTCTGAATGTGTTCCTGCTCCCATCCTATTTGAAATCTCGGCGGGCGGAGTGGAAGGGAGGGGGGGGGGAAGAGGAGAGGGTTTTTTTTTTTTGTCCACGCCTCCTTCTGCAACCGGGCGCCCTCCGCTTGCTTTCTCCGTTCCCACAATCCTCGACCAGACGAGGGGGGGCTGGCTGGGTGGGTGGGAGAGAGATTTGGGAAGGGCCGCCTTCGGAGCGCCCGCGCTTCCCCCGCTCGCCGAGGAGGGGCTCCGCGGCCCGGGGGCGGCCTTTGTGGGGCGCGGGCCTCCGCTTTGGGGAGTTGGGGGGCGCCGGTTGGAGCGGCTCGCTTTGTGCGGGACGGGACGTGGCCGGGGCGGGCTCGGGCTTCGCGGCTCCTTTCCCTCCCCCGCCACCCTCCATCCCGCCTCATTCTTCAGCTCTGAGCCCCTAACAAAGCAGGGGACCCCCTTTGCCAAACTTGGCCAAACTTTTTTGTTTGTTTGTTTCCCAGAGTTTGCCAAAGTTTGCAAGCTTTGCTAAAGTTTGCCAAACTTTCTTTCCTTCGCCTAAAGAGCCCCTCTTCGGCTGTGTGTGGGGGGGAAAAGACTTTCCCCCGCGGGGAACGGGGGAGGGAGCATGGCCTGCGCCCCCCGACTGCTCCCACCTCGCCCAGCAGCCCCCCAAGTCCCGGGACCGGCCGCGCTCGGGCAACCCGGTGCGTCCTAGGCGCGCGGTGGCGACCGGCCCGCGGTGGGTTCTCCATGGCCGGGGGCGGGCGGCTGCGCTTCGCTTTGGCCTGCTGCTTGCTGGGGCTCCTCGGGGTGGCGGCGGCTTCGCTGAACCGCAGCTCGCCGGAGGAGGATCGGTGCAAGCGCGCTGCGCCCTGCGAGGCCCTCCAGGAGAGCAACTGTCTAGGATCGCCGCTGCCCTACGCCGCCACCTCCACGTTGCTGGCCGGGGACTCCAGCTCGCAGGCGGAGGCGCACGACAAGCTGCTGCTCTGGTCCGGTAAGGTTGCGCGGGGAAGGTGCGCGCGATCCTGCTCGTTGCACCTCGAAATGAGCCAGGAACATGGGTGGGAGTCAACTTTCTCCTTTGGTTGTGCAAGGCGTCCGTGCATTACGACCGACAGCTCTGAGATGTTGGTTCTAGGTGCCCCCATCCCCATCCTCTCCTGCACCCCAAAATGAAGGCGGGTGGGAGTCAACTTTCCTCCCCCCCCCCCTGGTCAGGCAAGATGTCTGTGAGATAGTAGCAAACCTGGAAGGGGGTGGGCTCTTACCGCTGGGGCACCCCCAAAAATGAATACAAGCTGAGAGTTGACTCCCCTTCCCCATAAGTCGTGCAAGGGGTAGGTGGGGTGGGATGGATGGCTACGGGGTGCTGGGCTTAGGAGGGGGGAAATCCCCTCTAGCAGTGGTCCCCAACCTTTTTTTCGCCCCGCACCCCTAAAGAAATTTCACTCGAACCTCGCACCCCCTGAAATTTAGACTTTAGGAACTACTGAAGGCGTTAAATATAGGGTAGGATATATATGACGGCCACTAAATAACGATACTTATCTCTAAAATGAAAACAAAGTTAACCCATCGCATAATAAATAAAAATGCCAACATATAGCCAATATCCTATTATTTACCTGGACTTTTCTCGTACCCCCTGGAATATCGTCTCGCACCCCAGGTTGGGGACCCCTGCCCTATAGGCTCGCTTGTACCCTGAAAATGAATTCTGGAGAAAGCGGGAGTCCACGCCCTCCCCTCCTGATTGTGGGAGGGGTCAGTGGGATAGGACTGACATCTCTGGGGTGTTGGGAGGGGGTCTCCAAACTGCCCGTGTACCCCCAAAATGAGCACTGTAGACAAGCCGAGTGTCAGCTTCACCCCTCCACTCCCCAAACAGTTCAAGCAAAGGGTTGGACTACAAGACCTCCGAAGTCCCTTCCAACTCTTAAAACTATGAAAGTTCCAGGTGTCTGTGGCTCAGGCTGGTCCTGGGGGGTCCCCACACACTTGCCAAGGTTGGAAAACACTGCTTTATAGTGTCTTAACCAGCAGTGTGTGTGTTCACACAACACTCTTAATCGGATCATTGAATGAGGGTTATCGGTTCGTGCAAGACTTCGGACTGTTAAACTAGCCATGTTCCTTGCTTCACACAACTAAATCCCCTTATTTTAACGGGGCAAAAGGCCTTGCACTGATGGCCTATGGATACCATTTTGTGTGTTTGCGCCTTGCTTAAAAGTAACCACAACATTGGCTCTCCAGGGTCTTAACTGCTGATTTAATCTTACTTCGTGCGCAGTTGTCATGCCCCTGTTGGAGTCTTACTCCGAGGGAGAGACGGAATAGCTGACAGGGAGTGGGATTGTGGCTCCAGTGGTTGTGGAGGAAACTGGGGAAGGGCACAGGCCAGCTGGACATTCAGAGGAAGACCCAGGCTCATCCCTCTTCATCCTAGGGCACCCAGAGAGGAGCGGATAAGGGAGAAATGTGAATGGTGTGTTCTATGGGGGAGGAAAAGGCCCTGATCCCCTTCATGGGCTGCAGCTGGGAGGACTGGTTAAAAGGACAAGCTGTGCATGGCAAAGTTGCTGTAAGCAAAGCATGTATTATTCTTGTTGGAGCTTATCTGTGTTTTGGCTTCCTCCCAAACTGTGGTGGCTCCGTTATCTGGTAGAAGACTGCAATTAATTATCCTTGCCTGCCATAATAATTCCTTCAGTGTGGTGTGTGTTCGGTTTTTTTATTTTGAATTAACCTTACTTTGGGTGCGGACGGCATTTACTCCCTCCGTAAACTGTTTTCTTTAAGAGTTTGATATCCACCCGAGGATAATTGGACGTTGGGGCCTAGCTGGCATTAAACGGACTTTCTTCTATTTTTGTGACTTGGTTATTTTTGTGTCACACCCTGGGTCATCACAACGGTGTTGTTTCTTTAGAAAATTTAAAGATAAAGGTGAAGGTTCCCCTTGCACATCCGTGCTAATCGTTTCTGGCTCTAGGGCGGTTGTTCATCTCGGTTACAAAGCCATAGAAGAGCCAGCGCTGTCCGAAGACGTCTCCATGGTCATGTGGCCAGCATGACTAAACGCCGAAGGCGCACGGAACGCTGTTCCCTTCCCACCAAAGGGCTCCCTATTTTTCTACTTGCACTTTTTTACCTGCTTTTGAACTGCTAGGTTGGCAGAAAGCTGGGACAAGTAACGGGAGCTCACTTCGTGACGTGGCGCTGGGGATTCGAACCGCTGAACAGCCTACCTTCCTGGTTGACAAGCTCAGCGTCTTAGCCCCTGAGCCACCGCGACCCCTTAAATGAGGACTTCATTTAAATTAGGACCCCTTGAATTAGAAACTTAGGACTATAAAAAAGGCCAAAGTTTTCTAAGTTTCTAATCCCACAAGGGAATATTGATATTTTTCTTGCCGTTTTTTTTTTCAGGTTTGCGGAACGCGCCGCGCTGCTGGGATGTCATCCAACCCCTCTTGTGTGCCGTGTACATGCCGAAGTGCCAAGACGGCCATGTGGAACTGCCTAGCCAAACTTTGTGCCAAGCCACGCGGGGGCCCTGCACCATCGTGGAACGAGAGAGAGGCTGGCCCGACTTCCTCAAATGCACCACCGATCGGTTCCCGGAAGGGTGCCCGGTAAGAGTCGCCTGTGCCCACCGCTGGCAGAGTGGGTGGGCACTTTATTTATTTAACCCACGGCTTACCGTACATCAAGGGTGTCCAACTTGATTTCACTGAGGGCTGCATCAGGGTTGGGTTTGACCTGGGCGTGGCATGGCCAAGGTGTGTTGTGGCCAGGTCGATGTCACTAGTGTCTTTTTTATTTTTTTTCAAAAGGCAACTGGACTTTCTGTTTTATTCCTTTGAAGAAGTTTCGCTTCTCCTCCAAGAAGCTGCTTCCGTTCTGACTGGATGGTGGGGAAGGAAAGGATCGATATTCCTTGCAGACAGCTGGTCATTTGCATCCTTCTAGAGAGACGTTGAGGCCACTTGGAGGTTTACCTGTGTCCTCAGGGTCACCTGAGTGGTGCAAATGAGTGTGGAGCCTT